GGGTAAATATGCTGACAAAAATGAGATCACCAGTACTCAAAGAGGTTGAGAAGTTATTATTGGTGTGGATAAACGAGAACAATTAGCAGGAGATAGTCTTATGACATCGATTATTTGTGAAAAGGCTAGGCAGTTGCATGACGATCTGGTAAAGAAATTGCCTGCAACGAGTACTGATATTTGTGAATTAAGGCCAGCAAAGGTTGGTTTGAGAGATTTAAGAACCGTAGTGGCATACACAGTGTGATAAGGCATGGTGAGGCTGCCAGTTCAGACAATTGCAGCTACAAAATTCGTAAGTGAATTCAAGGAGTACATAGAAGCTGAAGGACTGAAACCTGAACAAGTGTTCAATTGTGACGAAACAGGCCTCTTTTGAAAGAAAATGCCAAAGAGGACCTACATTACTCAGGAGGAAAAGGGACTGCCAGGAAAACAAGCCTATGAAAGACAGGCTGACGCTCATGTTCTGTGCTAATGTTAGTGGGGATTTCAAAGTGAAGCCGTTACTAGTGTACCATTCTGTAAATCCCAGTGTGTTCAGGAAAAACAATGTTATGAAGAGTAAATTGTGTGTGTTTTGGAAAGCTAATAATAAGGCATGAGTCACGAGGGAAATTTTTGTCGAGTGGTTCAATGAAGTGTTTGGCCCCTAGTGTGAAGAATTCTTTCTTTCTTTCAACACACCGGCCGTATCCCACCGAGGCGGGGTGGCCCAAAAGGAAAAACGAAAGTTTCTCCTTTTACATTTAGTAATATATACAGGAGAAGAGGTTACTAGCCCCTTGCTCCCGGCATTTTAGTTGCCTCTTACAACACGCATGGCTTACGGAGGAAGAATTCTGTTCCACTTCCCCATGGAGATAAGAGGAAATAAACAAGAATAAGAACTAGAAAGAAAATAGAAGAAAACCCAGAGGGGTGTGTATATATGTGCTTGTACATGTATGTGTAGTGTGACCTAAGTGTAAGTAGAAGTAGCAAGACGTACCTGTAATCTTGCATATTAATGAGACAGACAAAAGACACCAGCAATCCTACCATCATGTAAAACAATTACAGGCTTTCATTTTACACTCACTTGGCAGGACGGTAGTACCTCCCTGGGTGGTTGCTGTCTACCAACCTCCTGGAAAAGAAATTGGATCTCAAGTGCCTCCTAGTAATGGACAATGCACCTGCTCATCCTCCAAACTTGGATGACCTAATTCTGCAGGAGTTTGGGTTCATCACAGTAAATTTCTTGCCACCCAAATACCACTCCTCTTCTCCAGCCCATGGACCAGCAGGTCATTTCAAACTTTAAAAAACTCGACACCAAAGCAATGTTTCAAAGGTGCTTTAATGTGACCTCAGACACTCACTTGACCCTAAGAGAGTTTTGGAAAGAACACTTCAGTATCCTCCATTTCATAAGCCTTATAGGTAAGGCTTGGGAGGGAGTGAGTACCGGGACTTTGAACTCTGCTTGGAGAAAATTGTGGCCATCTAGATTGTGTCTACAAGAGGGATTTTGAAGGGTTTGTGGCTGACCCTGATGAACCCATGTCAGTTGTGAACTCTATTGTGGCACTGGGGAGTTCCATGGGGTTGGATGCGAGTTTGGAGGATGTGGAAGAGTTGGTGGAGGACCACAACGAAGAGCTAACCACTGAGGAGCTGCAAGAGCTTCAGCAGGAGCAGCAACAGATCACAGCTCATTATTATTATTATAATCAAGGGGGAAGCGCTAAACCCAGAGGATTATACAGCGCCTGGGGGGGGGGGGGATGTGGAAGACATTCAGGCTTAATTTGGGAAACTGGAGCACAGATCCAATTCCCTAAATCAAGAGCCCCTCACCAACATCAAGGAACCTTCCTTGAGGGGAGATCACAGCTCAGAATCTTGCTGCAGAGGAGGGGGAAGAGAGATGGAAGGAGGTGCCTTCTACAGAAATTAAGGAGATTTTTGAAATGTGGGGTAGGATGGAAAGATTTATGGAGAAACATCACCCTGAGAAGGATGTTGCAAGCCATATCGGCAACTTGTACAGTGACAGACTCTTGGCCCCTTTTAGGGAAGTTTTAAAGAGACGCCAGAAACAGAGCTCTCTGGACACTTTTTTTGCAAGACAGGACTCCAGTGACTCAAGCTGCTCCTAGTAGCATTAAGAAACAGAGAAGAGATGTAACCCCAGAAAAGGACTTGGTACCCGAGGTGTTGATGGAAGGGGATTCCCCTTCCAAACAGTAACTAATGCAATCTCTCTCCTCCTCCAGTCTTCCATACACTAAGAAGAATCGCCAATAAAGGTGTTATGCTGTTAATGTTTCATTCATCATGTCCCATTGTATTGTTTATGTACTACATCTATATTTCATGCAAAAAAAAAATTTTGTTTTAATACTTCTGGGTGTCAGGAATGGATTAATTGTATTTAATTATTTCTTATGGGGAAAATCGTCTATTTCGATAATCGTCGCACTTCCAGGAACGGATTAACGACAATAAATGAGGGACCACTGTAATAATAATAATAATAATAATAATAATAATAATAATAATAATAATAATAATAATAATAATAATTTATTAGGACATGGTACATAGTTGTACAAGGTATTATAGTAGTTGGGTGTACAGTACATATCAAAAGCCCCTTGTATGCAGAGCATTATGGGCAGGCTTAAAATTAACTTCAGATTATCTTAGCTATAATAGATTTAATGGTAACAGTTACAGTAAAATTTACAATATCAAGTACAATTGAGTATTTTAAACAATGAAATTTGAACATTTCAATTTTGAAGCATTATAGTTTTACAATTTTGTAACATTACAGTGAATAATATAACAAAATGATCAATTTACTATATGTAGTTGTACAATTTATTAATCAGATCTAATCAAATCAAATCAAATTAATGATCTGTAGTGCAGTAACAAGTCATATGGTCATTAGATGAGTTACAGTGCATTCAAGATAATGGATTATTCTATTAGGTAATGCTATACAAACATAGTTTGATAAGGTTTGTCTAATTATACAACTGGGTTATACATTTATGAAATATAAGTTATTCAACATTTGCATTAGATTAGATATGAGAATTTATTGATCTTTGAGCATTTATTTATGGGGTCCAAAGGCTAGGGGTGTAACACAGTGAGTAATGATATTTTGAGGCAGTAGAAAGTGATTTGTTAACTATGTAGGTAAAGTTAAGTACTGTGTATTTAGTTTTGGGTGAGTAGGTGGTTTTTAAGAAGAGTCTTGAATTGATATACAGTGTTTCTTTGGTAATCAGTGGAAATGAATTCCAAATTTTTGGGCCTTTTATGTGCACTGAGTTTTTACATAGTGTACGAGGGACACGGGAAACGTCAAAGAGTGATCTGTGTCTTGTGTTGTGGTTGTGTGTTCTGTTAAGGTTGGTAAGGAGAAGTTTGAGCAGAGGGTTTATATCCGAGTTTAGTGTTCTATGCATGTAGTAGGCACAATAATAAGTATGGATGTTTTGTACAGTGAGTAAGTTCAGACTTTTGAGTATTGGTGGAGTGTGCTGCCTGGAGTGGGAATTTATCATCATTCTGACTGCAGCCTTTTGCTGGGTAATTAATGGTCTGAGATGATTTATTGTTGTTGAGCCCCATGCACAGATTCCATAAGCGAGATAGGGGTAAATAAGCGAGTGATACAGGGCAAGGAGAGCTGATTGTGGAACATAGTACCGTATCTTTGATAGTATGCCTAGGGTCTTGGAGACTAAACTGGTAATTTATACTACATGTGGCTGAAATTTGAGGCTATTATCAAGGTGGATTCCTAAGAATTTTCCCTCTGAGTTTTGTGATAGGTGTTCCATTTATCATTATGTTAAGGAGAACGTTTGTAGCTCTGTTCCCAAACTGAATGAAATAGGTTTTGTCAATATTGAGAGTAAGCTTGTTAATCATCATCCAGGTAGATATTTTCTGTAATTCAGTATGTATTTACAGTATTGGCTAGTATGACTGGGCTTGGGTGAGAGAAGACGTATGTAGTATCATCTGCAAATAGTATGGGTTTAAGTAGTTGAGATGCATTTGGTAGGTCGTTTATGTAAATGAGAAAGAGAAGTGGGCCAAGGACGGTTTTGGGTCCAAGGGGATTCCTAGATATTTCACTTAAGATACTGAAGTGATATTTTTCCCATTACACTGGACATTAAAAGTATCTGAAAACATTTATAAAAGTATTTTTTTTTTTTTTAATTTTGAATTTTCAGTTTACTTTCATGCCAAAGAGTACAGTGACTCTTGGATTATCATAGGTTATTAACCTCCATGTATATCAATTCAGTGTTGTTTTCTTCAGAGGAGTTATAGTTTACTAAATTTATAACTATTTGTTTAAACCAGGCTTAAGAAACTATGTAAAAGCTATAATGAAATGTATTATTCAAATCTAAATAAAAATAACTTATGTTAAGTATATAGATCAATAAATGAATGCATATACAATACACAATATATAAATCCTTTTAGTGATAGAGAATAACAAATTCCTACATTAATATAGAACCTAAGGTTTTTTAAATCTAGGATCCTCAGCATAACTCTTTGGCTGTTAGAGGTCAGCATATACCAAAACCTATTTTATGTCTATTGTAATAGAGTAACTTTTAAAGTAAGCAACCACATTTGCAAGAGATATTTAACCTATTTTGACTCCACAATTTTTGGACAGGCCTATCTACATACGGTACATTATTTTAGTATAATCACAAAATATAATTTTGCCACTCTTTTGGGTGAAAACTTGAGCTTTAAAATAAACGTTACATACATAATGAAGTAAAATAAATATTAGTTGCGTCAGGTTGATGGTAAGGAGGATAGTTGCACCTTATCTGAGGCTGTCAGCTTCCATTTTCAATGAAATAGGCTCCTGCAAGTGCCTGGCAATCTCATAGCTTAATCCTTCCCTCTCCTGCCACACCATATATCAAACCATAGAGGCGGGGTCGCCTACTCACTCAGTTCTCTCACACAGTCGCGAAATTCTGGCAGTGGTAGGAAGGAGAGAAGAATATAGGAGGAAGGGAGGCGCCGGGAGACGTGCGTACACCCCTGACGACGTCCTGGAGACAACTACCAACATATGAACATTGTCATGACTTATTGTACACCACCCAGGCACACCAACCCTCCAGACACTCACTATATCCTCTTACTATCCTGAAAAATCTTCCTCAAACGCTCACTCATCCACTGTTTTACTCTTTGAATCAAGGACACGGGAGATAATTATGTATTCTGAGACTGAGAAAATGGGTGACTGTCAGGTTTGTTCAATTTCAAACTAGAAGGTGCAATTTGTGACGTCAGGATTTGTTTAGGTGGAGACTTGCGTCTCATTGGTTGAGGAACATCACGTCATGTAGTCTTCATGGAGGGAGACTTGTGTCTCATTGGTTGAGGAACATCATATGTAGTCTTCAGGGGTATTCACTGGATGAGGAACATCATGTAATAGTCTTAATGGAGGGGGGGGGGACTTGAATGAGAAACATCGAAGACTGAGGAACATCATGTCATAAAGTCTTCGTGGGGAGAGAGACTTGGATGAGAAACATGTAATAAAGTTTTCATGGGGAGAGACTTGGATGAGGAACATCACGTGATAAAGTCATCATGGCGAGGATAGAGGACCCAGCCTTCGATTTTATCACTAGCAGCTGCTACCAGTGTTTTCAACTCACCGTTCTACAGTCTGTGACAAGACAGACGCTGTCTCCCGGACACTACCTATCATTTATTATGTCACAGTAAGAGGGTGTTAATACGTTACCACATTACATAACATGGTGTATTTTTGATTAACCAAAATATCCATAGAGTGTATATTATAGTATGTTAGGTAAGTTCAAGGTTGTGCGTGATAATGCTTAAAAGTACGGCCTTGTAGGCACTGACTGGCATCAGTGGCATTTCTCACTGACCTACATACTCAACATCCGCTCTCATTCATATGCTATATATTCAATCTATAAGTAAAGGCTTAACCATTATATATATATATATATATATATATATATTATATATATATATATATATATATATATATATATATATATATATATATAATGTGTCGAATGGGTAAACTGGTCATTTAGCAAGAACTCATTTAAAATTAAGTCCTTCCTAAAATTTTCTCTTAAATGAAAAAAAAATTATTTTTAAAAGTATATGTTAATGTAAAAAATAATAATTTTGTACCAAAAGAACCTTAGAAAACTTGCCTAACCTTATTATAACAAGCGCAATTTAATTTAGCCTAATCCAACTAAATATATATTAGGTAAGTTTACAATAATTAAATACTAAACAAACACAAGGAAATATATTTTTTCATTAGGTTCAGAATGATTTTTGAGAAATTATTGCACACACAAATTTTCGCTTGCTTTATTCGGCAAGAAGCGAGTTGAACATCAAAATGGTATAAAATACCGACAGGTTGGTAGGTAAGACACAAAGGCAACAGTTAGGCAACTTTATTCCGAAACGTTTCGCCTACACAGTAGGCTTCTTCAGTCGAATACAGAAAGTAGGCAGGAACAGTAGAGATGTGAAGACGATGTAATCAGTCCATCACCCTTGAAGTCGTAGAATTTGAGGTTGTCAGTCCCTCGGCCTGGAGAAGTTCAGTTCCATAGTCAGGAACTATCTGATAGTTCCTGACTATGGAACTGAACTCTCCAGGCTGAGGGACTGACAACCTCAAATTCTACGACTTCAAGGGTGATGGACTGATTACATCGTCTTCACATCTCTACTGTTCCTGCCTACTTTCTGTATTCGACTGAAGAAGCCTACTGTGTAGGCGAAACGTTTCGGAATAAAGTTGCCTAACTGTTGCCTTTGTGTCTTACCTACCAACCAAGAAGCGAGTTGCTGTTTAAGCCAAAATCGCGTTTGACCTATTTTTACCTATTCGGCATACTAATTAGAGAAACTTCCAATGCATATAAACTACGTATAACATACATCCCGTTTAATCTCATAAACAACAGACTACATTTTTTGTATTAGCGAGTTAACTGCTGCATCCGCAATGAGTCTACCTGGAGGTAGTGGGATTTTTTTGGGACAAAAAAAAAAAGTCTCCAGAAACGGGTTTTATGCAGCCATGACTTGCTCAGTTTTTTATAATGATCATCGTAAGCTTCCAGCAGCGATATATTTTAGAATTTTGCTCAATATTACTGCCAGCAAAAATTGCAGTTTTTTATGTATTTGCATAGCATAGCAATTTCCCTCCATAATCTAACCCACAACACTCGAGTAACAACCAGTACCTGTTCATATTGCTAGAAAAACAGGAGCAACAAGTATTAATTAAGGACTCTTGCGCATGTGCCACCTTGCCTGGGATGGAAGCCTGCTCTTTGTAGTTGTACGACCAGCGCTCTGAAAAATACTAAATGGACAAAAAACTAACTGTTTTACCAAGGAGGAAAAAGGACACACGAGTAAACACTAATGATATTTTGTTGGGAAACGTTTCTGTCATGGGACATTGTTGGCTCCTATAATACACAAGGTAAATGGAATACAATGTACACAGGAGAGGCACGTGTGAGGTAGGAGAGCTCATGTCAGATTTAAGTCGATGCCAGGTCAGGTAGTAACACCTGCTTTTTGTTCAATAGTGTTAAAAACTACGATGAGAGATACTTCTAACCACCGATTCTTTCTCAGTTCAGGTTCGGTAAAGACTAGCTAGTGATTCCTTTAATTCATGAGGTGGACTTCAGCGTCCCTGTAGATACTTAGGCACTGCTCCTCTCATCCCTATGCACACGTACTTGTGTTCAGTTAACCTGCTCGATAGGTAGGTACCTCCCAGTTTCTGCCAAGTACTTGTTATCACATTGATTACACTGAATGGTGTAAACTCCAGCATCAGAAACGGGTGGAGAAATAGAGGGTCGCTTCTTGATTGGGTCTTGCATGGAAATAATTATTACAGAAGCCACGTTGATGTTGCTCCTAGTAAGAGCCCTAGTAATGTTGTCCGCCACGTCAGTGATGCAGCTAGGTTCTAATGTCAGGGAGAGAGAGGATTTAAAAACAACTTTTGCTTTATGAGTTTCTTATCAAACTGTCCATTTTAAAATAAAAGGGCGGCTAACGGTTAAAAGTTCAATCATTAAAAAAAAAAAGGGCTTATATTCAAGAAGTGGTAGAGATAAGTCGATTTGAAGTGACGCAGGAAGGCTACAGCAACTGAAGAAGGCAAGGGCATAAAATAATGCACTGACTGTTTCTTTCCATATCTATGCCACTGGCATGGATATCAGTATTGTGTATCATCATTACTGTGATACTTGTGTGACACAGCAACACCATGGAATCTTTATACAGGTAGTCTTCCGCAACTCCTTTTTTTTAAACAAATGACCCACTGCCACTAGTAGGACACGCACACCTGTAACGTGACTTCCAGTCGCTTCACCTCACTTCTGCTCCAGTAATTTTAGGTCTGGCCGCAAGCTTCTGCTTCGGGCTGAGGGGCTGATTACGTCTTATCAAGCCTGAGGGAATGAACGCTTTAAAATGACTTATGCTGTCCCCCTTATTATATTCGACTGAAAAAGCCTGCTGCGCAAGCGAAACGTTTCGGCAACAAATATACCCAAGTACTGCACATGTATTGTATGTAGCCAGTGGGCCATGGGCACTTAACACACTGCCTGTGTACCCCACTACATTTGCAAATAAAATAAGAAGCCTCCGAAGCCTTATCATTGAACCCCGCTCTGCAGGAACGATCCAATAATTCCGTAAACATTTATTCATTAACTTGTGGGTATTGTATACAGTAAATAATATATTATGTACTGTGTTTCATGTACCGTGCATCACAGGGGTGAGGAAACTCCTAAGACTGAAATATTTCCTAATGAAATGTCTTAAGTTTTTGCTTGAGTAGCCTTTTTGCTTAACTTGTCAATATGATATATCTGGTTGTCTTCGTCAAACTTCTAAGGAGCCCATAGGATTTCTTCTATTCCCTTGTCACTCGAGGAAGAGTATTTACATCAACCAAGTAATTACTGATTCTCACTACCCACCATCTTTCATCGTAGACTACGAAGGAAAGTCGACAGCTACTACACTTCTTCGTTTTCACTTAAGGTGCTCCAACAACGTGGACTATCATATAAAAATCGCAACGAGTGCTGCACAACACTAGCTCTGACACTACACCCAATACATACATAGTACTTTTTGTTAACCAGACCAGCAATAACCTGACAACACCTTAGCGAATGCTAATATCAGAGATAGCAGTACTGTTTCGAAAACCATTAAAGATTAAGTCAAGTCGAAAAGAAAGACGAATCCATGGACACCACTGCTGGCGTTTATATTGTGACTAACAGAGGGTTTGCAAAATTTTATATGGGAGTCACTCCAGGAATCTGGAGACCACATCACGTACTCATGCTCGGAGGCACAACACAAGTAACACGTACTCTACACTTGCTTCATTTAGGTATCTTTACTGTTGGAACGTTTCGTTTGAACAGCAGCTTATGCAAATAAATAGAAGCGGTTAACGCTGGAGACAGTAGAAGTGGAGAGACAATTTTGAAGTGATTAATTCCTCAGCCTTGATAGAAGAGGAAGATATCACTTGTAAATCATTACGATGACCTCACAGCATTACTAAATTCCTTGTATGCCAATATGTCCATCATTACACTAACTGAAACCTGGCTAAAGCCTGATACTACAGATGTCTATGCCATTCCTGGTTACACAGCTATACACAACTGTAGGCCAGACCAACAAGGGGGTGGCACAGCTATATACTACTCAGACCAAAAATAACAAAAAGGCACAATACCGTGACTGGAACGATACACAAATAACCCGCACATAAAAGACAGAAGCTTACGACGACGTTTCGGTCCGACTTGGACCATTGACAAAGTCACACTAACAGAGGAGGAGCAGGACGGCTATATATAGGCAGGAAGAGGTGGAGGTAGTAGTAGTGGTAGTAGTAGTAGTACAAGAATTGTATATAATACCGACAGGATGAAATGACACATGCACAACACCCGGGCATCCCCACCGTAGACGTTTCGCCA